TATAAAGGCTTAAAACCCCACCCAAGACTAATCCACATCCTCCCCTCTGTCTCCTCCTCTTGTTTCCTGGCTCTTCTACGTCCGTTAATGCAGAGATGCTGCAGAGGACACACCCAGCTACACTCTGCTGCCTCTCTGACCTCTCTCTAACGGTGCCGCAGTGACCACACAGAACGGCTCTAAAGCTCACAATAAAAAAGGACATTTCTTCTTTGAATAGAGGAAGAATGTGACGTGACAAAAAGGGAAGATGGGCTGTTTTGATGAAAAAAGAAATGAAAAGAGCACTCGTCTCTGACAGCATGCAATTAAGTAATGAGCCATTAACCCCATTAGACTGAAAGTGGAGGTAAAAAATGCAACAAGAGGGCGGCACGGATGAGAAAGAAACATCAAGTCAGTGACTTATATTATGTTTTACAAAAGATAAAATATTATTTGTATTTTCACTTTCAGTTTTAATTAGTTTTTATCAATAAGAAGCATCAGTTCTCCAATGTAATAAATGTACCAAACAGACACTGATGTCTTAAGTTCAAACGCCTTATCCGGAATCCTTTGGAGCCTTTTTCTGCTTTTATTTATATTTAAAGCACTTTGTGGCATGTTTTAAAACATCATATATATGTAATAAAATACATACTTATTTTACTGATAATCACTGACAGCCTGGAACCAACAGAGCATAACTCCCACTCCCAGGCTTCAAAAGCTGGGATTCCTAAATGGTTTATTTTTACATGCATGTAAATAATCCCAAATTCCTATAGTTAGGAGTCTGCATCTATAGAACAATCCATCCATTTTCTTTAATCGCTTTGCCTTTCCGGGTCGAAGGCAGCATGTGTCTAGCTCCAGTGGTCTTTGTGTGAGATGGGGGACACCCTGGACAGGTCTCCAGTCCAAGACAGGGACACAAGGAGACAAAAAGGACAACCTACTGCTCACAGTCACACCTAGGGACAGCGATCTATAAAACCATACTTTAAAAAACTAAAACATCCAAAGCTTCACGAGGGCCTCAAAGGTACAGACAACTCCTAAAAGTCTTTACTTTGAGATGTTCTGTACTGTTAGTGAACTTACAGGAATACCATGTCTTAAGTGGGTTTCTGTGGAACAGTGGTTAGTAAATATCTTACCTGCAGTGAACAGCAATCCAGGTGATCTGTTTGGAGAATTGTGGAGAAATTCTTAAATCGGGGGCAAATCAAGAGTTTGCACCATTAAAACCAGCTTAAACTCACAACTATCGTTAAGCTTGAGTAACGCTACATCGCACTGCAAATTATGAAGCAAATTACATTTTCTCTGATTTTTCTGACAGTCAAATCATCACCCGTTGGGAGTATGAATCAAATTTTATGATGACAATGATTTTTTTTTTAGATTTTAGCTTCTCTCCATCCATCGTCTCCCTGTCAAGTCCAGAATTGAATTCAAAATCTTACTTCTAACCTACAAAGCCCTCAACAACCTAGCTCCATCTTATATTTGAGAGCTTGTTGTTCCATATCTTCCTAACAGAACACTCTGCTCTCAGATTGCTGGTTATCTCGTGGTCCCTAGAGTTTCCAAAAGAAAATTGAGAGGAAGATCCTTCAGTTATCAGACTCCTCTCTTGTGGAACCAACTTCCAGTTTCTGTCTGTGAGGCTGACACATTGTCCAGTTTTAAGACTTTCATTTTTGATAAATCCTACAGTTAGGGTCGGCTTGTTATGCTGTCTTATGTTTAGACTACTAGAGGACAAATTGACCTAATTTCCTTAAACAAATTGTTAAATTTAAATAGTTTTCATTTGATGCTATTTCTATCTTAACATGTGAGTCGTGACCTGCCATTGTGTATCTGTTCCTCCTTCCTGTTCCTCTCAAACCCAGCCGGTCGAAGCAGATGACCGCCACTCCTGAGCCTGGTTCTGCTAAAGGTTTCTTCCTCACGAGGGAGTTCTTCCTTTGCACTGTCATCTTCATGCTTGCTCAAGATGAGAGTTCTGAGATGGAGTTAAATTCAAAGCAGTCTGCTCCTCAGATAAAGTTTTAAATTATTATTTTTATATATGGATGTTTTTGTTCAGTGTCCTGAGATGACTTCTGTTGTGACTTGGCGTCATTTTTAAACCGAATTGAATTAAATTAAAAAAAACTCAAAATGCACTTTTAAATTATTGTGTAAAACAAAGAGTGTAAAAACATTTTACATACTGTAAAGAACTGAGAATGGTCATTTGTCGAGTTTGCAGCATTAAGAGGACTGTACTGTAATCAAACACAGTTCACCCTGTAGGGCTTAAAGTTGAATTCAGATTTTTTTCCTGTAGTTAATCACAATATGTTTTGAAAGCGACCTCCGTCAGACTCCAGCATGAACTCTCTATGACCTGCAGGAGCAAAAGAAGACGTGACCTCACACAACGTGATCCCATCACGGTAGCATTGATACAGTCCAACACCAAAGTTGGTGAAAATTCTGCCATCCAGGGCATGAATATTTGAAAGAAAAAGTAAACTGGATTTCTGCTCTGTAGCTGAAGACGTGTGGAGTTCTGAGATTTAAACTGGATGAGGTTGGTATCCTACTTGAGGTTTGTAGGACTCCAGAGGCACACACAGCTTCAAATACCCGGTTTCTACTTTGCAGCATCTTTCTTGATCCAATAGACGTCAGGCAGACATCTTCCTCATTCTGCCTTTATCTGAACCTGTCCCAGCTCTGAAGCCATGATTCCTCCACGACGATGGATCACGCTCAAGTTTTTGTGACGTATCTCTTCTTTCTTCATTCAAGGCATCACACTACTGGGGCAGCTGTTGCTGAGTCGTCCTCCAATGGGAGAGTTGGGGGTTCAATTTAACCAGCAATCACATGCTGAAGTGTCCCTGGGCAAGACACCCACCATTGCCTCCGATGTGTGTCCCATCAGTGTATGAATGTGATAAAGCACTGATTAGTCTCCAGATTCAGATCATCACAAAGTATAGATCTAATAGAGTGCTGTATGAACAGGTAAATGAGGACTGATTGTAAAGTACTTTGAGTATCTTGATGATAGAAAGGCGCTATACGTTTTTCAGCAAGAGATACTTTCTTTCCGATATTTCTTGTGGCCTGTTTGATGAGGTCTGTCTTATAGTTTCCCATTAATTGGGCTCACCTGGAATATTAATTAATAAAGGAGATGGCTTTAAGTGATAGAGACCCTGAGACACAATACCATTCACAAGTTCAATAAAAAAACAATATAAATTTTTATGGCACCTAACGCAGTGTAAATTCTAACTAAGGTCATTTTCACACCTGATAGTCCGGTAGACTCAGTTCGATTGGGGACCAAAATTCAGAACTTTTGTTTCCATTTTTAGCTGGTGCGGTTCACATTCACACTGCACTGAGTCAGTGGAGCCAACCTGTTCCCCCCCTCACCTGTGGTGGCGCTGCACCAAGAACTACTGAAGGAAACAACACAAAAACCTCTGAAGAAGACACTTCTCCGTCTTCTGGAAATAAAAACAAAACTTGAGTGGCGTCAGATTTTAGCAGTTTTAGGATTTCTGTTTGTCATTTTTCAACAATGGACTCAGCATGAGCAGAAGACCACGGAAAATGTTTTTCACACAAGGAGGCTGACGGCTTCATATGAGATAAAAGAAATGTGCGTTTGTTTTGGTTGTATTTACCCAGAATGCCCTGCGCTGTAGTCCACTTCCTGCTTTTGGAGCAATCTCCTGTCTGCTTGCATTCACACTGCATTTGAACTGCATTAGAGTTCACGTCAACCGAACCGAGACCCGGGTATTTAGGCGGACCAGAGTTGCTTTTTTGGTCTGTATCAGAGTTCGATTGTGCCTTCACACCTCCCCAAACAAACTGGACTTTCTAGGCAAACGGACTAGCGCTCTATTTAATCGGACTAAACAGGGATGGTGTGAATGCACCGTAACTAACTGCTTGATTCTCCAAACTGAGATCACTCTTTCCAACTCAGGTAAGATACTGACTACTCAACACATCACTAAAAAAAAGAGATTCATCTCTGAATAGAAAACATGCCGTTTGAGAAACACCAGAATGTGCTCCATGTTTACAATCTTTATGCTAAGCTTACTTCTGTTGATTTACAAAACAGACCCCCCCTCCTCCCCGAGTGTCTCATTTCTAAGAAAAACATCTTGTGTTCATTTATCACGGGAACTGATCTGAAATGTTTTTCTCACTGCAGGTTTTGTGGTCGAACATGATCACCTTTCACACAATTTAAAAGAAAAACAAAAAAAGCAACTGCAATAAAAACAGCTCCTCGACCATCCAGAGACGCCGACACGGTTTTATAGAAAACAAGAGTTCTCCTTTTAATGTCTCATATCTCATACATTTACAGCACAGATTCCAGATTTCACTTTGATTCTGCCAACATCACAGTTTAACGTTTGCAACTGAAAAATACACCACATTGAAAGTAAGTACATATACACAAATTAAAACTTATAAAAAATATAAAAACAGTACTCTTATATCTCGTGTTGACAAGTACCATTTCAATAACACATCTGATAATACACAGCAGAGCAAACAAATTCAACTTGGCTTTTGTTTTAAATAGAAGGAAAATACATTTTTATCATGCAGAAGAGGTAATTAAATAACCAATCAAACAAAAATAATATATATTTTTCTATATATCTCTCTCTGAAATTTCAAGTCAAAGCTCTCCCGTCCCTTAAACAGGGAAAAACGAAATATCTCTAAACACCGGAGTGTGCGCAATGCTCTCATTAGCGGCCATCTTGGCATGGCTTCTAGTAGAAAACATCAGAACTCAGCGTCATCTGTTTGGCACAGACAAAGACGTCAGAATGGCAGTAGCATTTTGCATTAGAAAAGTGGGCGGAGTTGAGCTCTTTTTTCTACAAAACAAACCTCAACAAAACAAAAACAACATTCTAGTGGTGCCCCCCCCCCCCCCCGTCCCCCACACACACCAAGCAGAGGTCGCAGCCTTAGTCCTTCTGCAGCATGCTCTTGATAGTCTTGTTGGTGGATTCATCGTTCAGATGCTTGGTTGTGTACCTGCAGTTCAGAGGAAAACAAAAAGTGGTTTCCATTTTTGTAACACTGGAAAAACAACAAATACAAATGTCCCTCGATACCTCGCGGTTCGTTTTCGCGAACTCGCTCTATCGCAGTTTTTCCACATCAGATATGACTGACGGATGAGCTGAACAATCGGCATGTATTTTTTATTTATTATTTATTTATTAAAATAAATTATTAAAAATAATTTAGCACCTGTGTGCGGGCCAGAGCAGTGGGAGAACCTTCCTCCTGCAGCTGATCTCCGTGCAGAGCAGAAAAGTGGGCGTGGCCTAGAGTGCAGCCGGAGGCAGAGAGCTGATATTCTGTGCTCTTTTAGAGCGTTTAGAGTTTATTAACATTGTTTAGAATACTGCAAG